AATGAGCCAATTTCAGCCAATAGAAACGTAATACGCAAATTTTGGCAAGCAAAACAACCGCTAAGGGGCAATTTAGCATGCGGCAAACATTCAACTAATCAGAATGGACAGCAATTTTCATAGGCCCAAGGGGTCACGCGCCGAAAACTCAAAAATAGTGGTGCAATTATTAACTTAAAGGAGCAAGTTATATCAAGAAAAATCAGAGACACTGGAGAAGACATTTAGGAAACTTGTGAAGGTTTTGGAGAGACGTCCGAGTTGACACAAGAGTGACAGCGGAGACGTCCAAGTGGAGGAGCTGAATGGAGAAACCCAACTGCCGGCTATTGAAACAGAAACGAAGAGCACACAAACAAACCCAGTGTTATCCGTTTCTTCGGGGTTCAAGGACAAAATTTATCCTCCGGCCGGTGGATCTAAAAATTGCATCATGTCCATAGTCCCTCACAATTGTTAGATAATTTAGAAAAACACAGCTTTTCCGGAACTGTTCATCCTCAGATTCATCGAATCATAATACGCCTCAGACCCGCAATTACAAGCAATATACAAGATGGTGAAAAAAAGACCCGGAAATACAACAACAAGTGCATGAAATGAACCGCTACTACTCGCAATTTGTTATCAATTTCCATGTACGCGATATTAACCTGTGGAAGAACAAGAAGCAAGTCAATCTCAATACCCTATATAAAGCCATAAACAACAGACTGCATTAATAGCACAAAAGAAAATCAAATGTGTTCACGGCGGCAAAATATAATTGGTCTCCCAATTTTCACGGAATGCACTGCGGCGGGAAAGAACCTCAAACATATGTGTAGCAAGTTAGATCTAAGTAACATTCCGGAACCAAGAAAGCCTAATGACTTGTTGCAATTAGATTTCTGGGGCCTCTTAGTTATTCAAAAGAATCGTAAAAGAACGTGTTGATAGCTGTCAACCGATTCTCGCATTGGACATCGGCAAAAAACTGCGGAACAAAACGCTCGAATAAAACTCTTAAGTTCATTAAGCCATATATATAAAGAATCACGGGGTGCCGAGGAAAGTTCACGTAGATCAAGAAATTAACTTCATGTCGAAAGACTTAAAAGCTTTTTGTAACAGCGAAGGGACAGAAATACTACAATCTCCTGTAAACGAAAATCGAGCGACGAGTTTTGTCGAATGATCAATCGGCAAAATGAAAAACTCAGCTCTAATCTTTGCGCGCAACGAGAAGCCTGAACTCTTGGAGAAAAAGCGCTACGATTTTCAAACAACACTTATGATCACTCCGTTGGAAGCCCACAATGGTCGGGAGGCAAACACTGTGCCAAGGGACTTAACGAAAAGACCATCGCTAAAAAACATAGACTGCTCAAACCTACTTGAATCTTAACCTGCCTTTTTAGATGAGCGAGATCCAGTGGCACGAAAAATGCCAAACCCAGTCAGGTGACCGAACGCGAAATCAACCAATCCAACTAACGGACTACCAGGCAATGAATCATGGTTATGAACCATCGGGTAGGATGACAGCGGAACCGAGCATAACTGTGGTTTTTCAACGGACGGGCTATCGAAATCTTAAGAGGTATAAACTCTTCAAAACTAAAATTGTTACGGAAAGCGTGCTTACAATAAAGATGGGTAATGAGAGTCTTCTTAGGAAGTCTGGATTAGCCATCAGAAAACCGATTACACCGAAGAAACGGTCCTCTAGCGGTTTACCCAAGCCACTGACTACGCATGAGTTACCTAGAAAATTAGCAGCCAAAGGCACTTTATCAACCAGCCTCCCACCACGCAATGGTGACGAAAATGAATCTGATTCTGACTAAGACGACAATCAGCCACTGGCATCAGAACAGATCGCGGACAAAAATCCAACGGCGGCATTAACATTGGGTCAACCGGCCACATTCGAGGCAAGCGATCGACCGACGGCATCAAAGATGACAAAGAAACGGGAAATGCGGCGAGAAAAACGCGACCGGGAAGGAACGAAAGCGAGCGCTGGACGACTTATTCGACGACCCGAATGCATCCTCGGCACCAACAACGAATGCGCCCTCGGCGAAAGCCGAAAGTATCCAGCCAGGGGACGAAAAGAGGAACCGGGAAAAGAAGCAGCGCCTTGTCTCATTCTCGCGCCAAGACTCGAACAGTAGTATAGACGATACGGCCACGCGCAGGATTGGAAGGAAAAGAACAGCGGTAACTAAAATGGGAGCAGTGATGATTGATCACATATCTAAAGGAGGGGACAAAAAGTAAAAACTCAATTCTTGAAAAAGTCCAGGATGAGGGCTGATTGGATCAATCAAAAACTCAATAACTCAAGTTGCACATTAAACCAACAACTTTTTGAGTACATTTCGTTATATCTGTCCATTCATACAATTTCATTTCATAAAAAGGGGAGTGTCATAGTGATTAAACTGGTTCATTTATTTCATTCAGTTATGTTAACTAAGTTATCTGTCAAGCAATTTCATCCTAGGCTGGTGCTGGATACAATTGTCAGGTAGCAATCTTCGGAGCGTTTGCCACCTTTGGTTGACCTCTAACTTAGTATTTGTGATGATAATCCAGTTGTTTATTAATATTGGAAATTAACAATACAGATCGGTTCCAAATCAAATCTAGACAATGCTTAAGGACAGCACGCATGGTGTCACTAGAAAAAATCAGCTAAGAAATCAGCGTAAAAAGAATTCTTAAAAAATTTTCCACTTAATACAAAGTAGATAGTGGATATCTAGTGATTAAAATTTGAGCGCTTACTACATCCAATAATAGGGCAAGTACCAATTACTCAAAACATGAAGTTGAAGGGTAATTTGAATTTGTGTATTTATATACATATTTTATTTTTGAGGCACCAGAATAAAATTTTACCTCTGTTTGAGACAAGTTTTAAATTGAGCTTCCTTCAATCGCAATTTGACCGATAGTATCAAAAAAAACATTGGGAAAAACTTTTCAAAGCAGTTATTCAAAAAGACTTAGAGCGACTCTTCAGAATGGTTAATTCAAGCATAGAATTGTCTTTTGTTTTGCTTTTAATATCAATTGTAGTTTTTTCCTGGCTTTCTTTAGTCTAACCCTTACCACAAAAAAAATGTTTAATTGGTTGAAACTATTTTTTACGACGCCACAGATCCACATTTTGCACTGAACTCTTATTTCCGAAAATCTTTAAAATAATGCAAAACACAATAAATTTAACAGTTTGTCAGTTTCAACGACAAATCACGGAACCCAGAGACAGACTGCAGAATTCAGAGGCTAAACTACAAGTTTTGGGGAGAAAACTGCGGATGTCATTGACAAATTGTGAAACTCGGCGACGTTTCTTGGAATTCAATTTAACGGCAAAAAACGCGTTTTTCTGCCAATTGCTTCGACATTGAATAACATGTCGGCACTTTGTACAGGTGTGTTTGGTTATTGTTGTCGAAACAATGAGGAACGTATAGTTTCGGGGTGGTTCTAAATATTCGGAACAGTTATACTTTGAAAGTTTATCGGTCGTGTGGGTCGGCGACCGGCCTATTAGCATGTGTGTCGATTAGCATTCCATGTAAAAGAGTGGAATTGAAGATTCGCTATTTCACGTTTTGTTTACTCAGTTTTGCGATTTTGAACAGCGTGCAATGAGCCAAATTTTCAATCAGGCGAGCAGGAAGTTTAAACTTTATAACAAATGAAATGTTTTTCGAAATGATTTAAAATTTTAGACTGAATTGTTTTTCGTCCGGAAGAAGACCCAGTTAAAACAATTAACACACGCTAGTAGGCACACATTCTAATCGCTACGCCCCCGTGTGGATCGATCAGGGATTTGACGAGTGTGCTTGCCAATAGCCTAAATGCGTTTGAACTGCTCAACTGAAAACTATTAATGTCCATACGCTTACAAATTGTCCCGCACTCACAAATTGTCCCGCTCCCAATTGAATTGACGTAAATTAATCGGTAGAATTTCATTTATGATATTTGCAGTCCAAAATTTATAGTTTATCAACAAAATATACATGAAATATTTGAGACCTGTTGGCAGTCGGAACATTCAAAGCGTCGCCCTGATACGAGCAGTCTTGTTGATTCGATGGACAATTGCAAGCACTGTAAGCATTTATAGAGGATATCAGGCGAGTTGGCTCAAATTTATGCTTAGTTACATAACAGAGCTTGGCATCGTTAAGTCAAAATATTCTTTTAATAATCGGAGAATTAACTTTTTTCCTAATCTTTTAAACCAGCGCGCGTCAATTCTTCTGAAACAAAATTTTCAGAAGACAATGTTAGCCTCTTTGAAGTTTATGAGCTCATGGTGTAACGAACGAATCGTTTATCTATTAACCGATACCGATCATTTGTGAAATATTAGGATTGTGTTAAAAAGAAGATGGTTTATAATGCCTTAGCTGTCACACAGGATGCAAATAGTTATCATACTATTCATTTTTTTATTAAATAAGGAGGAGTTGCTCTAAACTTGAGAGTGAGACGTTGTCAGTCGAGCTGTGAAAAAATTTTAAATAAAAACTTCTTTTTAATCATTTAATATTATTCAGATCCAATTAACTTTTATCTCCTCTGACAAAAGTGATCTTAGTTTGATTCACAAACCCAAAAATCAAACAAAATATATCCCTCTTTTTGAGAAATCATTATGAGAAGTTCAGGACGTAATTAATGCAAAGCGGAAATTCTGACCTAAATTTGATAGTGCAGTACTTTGATACAACCAATAATCTAGCTGAGTGATGACCCATTAAGATTCTAAAAAATAGCCTCTTTTTTTATAATTATACAGTCAATTTCATCGTGTCCTGCCAAAAATGGTTACGTCGCTGAAATCTACCACCTTCAATTTAATTATGAAAAAAAGACACTTTTAACAGCCTTTTTTCATTTTACATCAGTCGGTGATTGGACGATTTTTTTTCAATTATTTATTTTGAAAACGGATCGACTTAGAGATTATTTTGAGATGACTGCAATCACAAGCAGTTGAACTAATAGTTAATCAATGAGCTAAAATTCTAGTAAGTATTCCTGGGTCAAATTAAATTTTCTTGTCAAAGCCTGTATTGTCATCTTTTCCCATTACAATCGAGGGTTTTTCTGATCCAACCAGGTATGAATTTCTCTTCAACTACTATTAAATGATTTAAATTTGACATAAAAATCAAATTATGATCAGCTCGTCTATTTTTCTGATTGAAAATAAGCGTTTGCTAATATTCACACACATTTCACTTCTGGACTGTTTTCTTGTCTGATCTGCCACCAATCTATCCGGCTCATCTGCCCCCTCTGGGCTTATTTTTTGGCTGTAAAAACGCAAAAGTCAGTGGGGTGAAACTGGTTGCAAACTACCTACGAGACTGCTCGTATCGGGGTAAACCATCGAATATTCCAGTTTTTCGTTTAAGGTCCCAGGCAGGGGCGAACCTAGGATTTTCTAGAGGTGGGGTTTTCGACGTTTTTTCGACCAAAAACTTCCCAGCTTTCCTACATCACTTATAAAGACCTACCGAAAATGACACTTTTTCATGACACTGGGGCAAGTTTTTCAAAAAGACTGAAAGGGCTCCAATTTGATATATCACGCACTCTTTTCCGATGATTTTTTCGTTATCTTATTTTGCGTTGAAAAAAATAACTAAAATACACCCAAATTTCAGTTATTGGAATATTGTTTGACTGAATGCGCGTGTTGAATGTTCCGAATTTTGGAAAAAAATACAAAAAATTTGTAGTCGTGGTTGTTTTTCCGCAGATAAATTTCAAATTTTTAACTGGTCATGTGACGGTAAATTTTATGTATCAGCTGAAATGTATTGTTGTCCTGAGGTCAATACTAAAATTATTTTTCACCTATGATCAATTTTCATAAAATTATGAGGATTAAAAGATTGCAAATTTAGCCAATTTGGGAAAATTAACGCGCGAAGTACTTTGAGCTATTAACGCGTATGCGGAAATTTAATCCGATTTAATTAGCGTAAGGATAATTTTTGCAAAAAAAACACCAAAAAAACTGCGAACACTGCTCCATAGACCTTAAAAGGCAGTCAGAACATTCAAGGCTTTGCCCTGATCCAAGCACTCTTGTTTAATTTGATCTCAATTACAAATATAAGCCAGTTAAAAACGGGTGTGAGAAACATAATTGCACGGGTCTGAGAAACAACTCATAATTAATGCCAATTGGGAATTGGGAAAAAAACATCATGTTTTATGCAGCATTTTGATTTTGAGTCTCAATCCTTTTCTTAGAAGATCAGCCTACTGTCTGTCCAAATTTTTTACGACCTCCATTTTTTGATAATTCACAACGCTAAAAACTTTCATAGGTGCCAATGAATATCAAAATTGAGGGGGATTGCTCTCCAAAAAAACGTGACTCTCGGGTCGTAAGCTTACCAAAAGTTTACGAAAGTCCCACGAAATGGTTTTAAAGCCTGTTTTTTTTCAAATAAGCTCAACAAAACAGGGTTTGTTATAATATTTCGCAAAAAGCGATTTAAAATACTTTGGTCGACCTAGAAAAAAGGTCGACAAGGTTTCATAATTTTTTTGCAACTCCATCTTTTACCCCTGGAGAAAAATTTAGATCCGCCCATGTATGAGGCTCGGTAAAAATAGAAATTTTAACATAATTGGAGGAATTGGAATTTGAATCTAATCGTCAAAGAAACAACAACAAAATTTTTCTTAAAACTCGAAAGTCGAAATTACATCGCACACGTGCAAAACTATTAAGTCTTCCCCTAACAAAGGTGTTTGCTCTTTTTTTGAAAGCTTGTAATCGTTTTTTCTAATTTTTTTAAGTATCATGAAATTTCTATGAATGGTGGTCAAAGCGGTCTGTGCAATTTTCACACTACTTGACCTATATTATTGCTCCGACTTTCAAAGAAAACTGAAAATTTATGCTCGATGTGGTTTTTTTTATTCAGTCAAATTTCGCTGATAGAAATAATGGTTTTCGACCAAGTTTTTCTATACGCCCCTGAAAATATCAACTTTCTGAGCTCAAGTCTATAAAAGATATTTTACCTCCCATTGTTTTTTTGTAAAGTTCTGGGGGTTTGAAAATTGCCAACTTAGCCATGTTCTGGACTAAATTATGCGCGTTTTGAAGATTTAATTCAGAGCGTAACGCTAATTATTTATACGTGACAAATTATCCCGCACAACAAATCGTTCTAAAATGAATTGAAGCTAGCTAATCAGATCGGTCGTATTAATTGCATATGACTCAGCATTTCACGCTTTGAAATTATCTAAAATTTATAGGTTTTCAAATTTTTCTTTTCCCAAAAACTATTCGATATGAATGAAGGGACAGTCGGACCATTCTAGGCTTTGCCGTGATATACGAGCAGTCTTTTTTCCACTCAATAGTTTTCTAGATCGATAAGGTAATTAGTTCTTGCTTTTAAACAGGGGCGGATTTAGATGTCAAACCCTCTTCATGGATTTGAAACTGAGCCAGTTTTTTTTATCTGGTAATCCGCCTGGTCCTTTTGAGAAAATCGTAAATCCCATGGCAATAGCTTTCACCTATTAATAACAGATTAAATTACAACAAAACTGAGCACCACTTTTACTAATGACTTGTTATCATTTCGTCAATTCAACTGTTTGTCTACTCAATTGGTCCCAACATACCATGATCAAAATTACCTGCCTGAGAATTACAAGAGTACACCGATACTTTTTGCAAGAGAAAGCGGTAATTAGTTTTTCTAGGTTTTCGTGATACAGAAAACCATTTATTTTGTCATGATCAAAGGGTACAGCTGGTGTGTCAACGTTCATACCAAATTTTTATTTGATAAGACCGTGGGGACCGATAACTACATGTAAGTGCAGTGACATTCTAAATATTTTATTCGTAATTGAAATTTTGTCGAGGGTTTTTCTGTAAATTTGTTACAATTTGAAGGTTAAACAATCAATGGCGACAATCCAGGTACTATACTCAAGCATTATTTGAGACTTTTTTGGATTTTTTGACAGATGTTGTTGACTTTTGACTTTTTGTTCCGACTTTCGATACGAAAGTAACGGAATATTTGTGCTCGGGGTGGGTTTTTTTTTCTTCAGACAAATTTCGACTTTTTAACTAGCCATTTTTGACGGATTTTTTTTTATATCGTTCCATAATTGATTTGTTACAATGAGCGAAATCTATCCTTTTGTACTTTATGTGGCGTGTGGGGGGATGATTTTCAAAAAAAATTTTCAAATTAAAGAAAATTTTTTTTTCATTTTATTAAATTTATATTTTAAATGTTATTACTGCTCCATAACCCTTACTAGGCAGTCGGAACATTCAGGGCTTCGCCCTGATACGAGCAGTTTTGTTATTTTTATTTTTTATTTGGCTTAGAAAAGTACTTTGAGTTTTAGACAACCATAACTTAACCATATTGAAACATATCCCATTGACTTATGTGATTTATGATTTTTAGCGAAAAAAAAGAACAAACTATGGCAAACTAAAACAAGGATAGCCGGTTACTGTGCAAGTAGCACAGAATGTTCCGACCATAGCCTTTAAAAAAATTATAAGATAAATTTTTTTTTCAAATTAGTTTTTCTGCGTGGGGTGATAAAAAAGTTTGATGTAGAACTGTAATCTAAGCATATTTGACATTCATAGTAAAACAGGCAAAACGGACACAAACATTTTTTTTAGAAAATTGACTAGAAAAACAACAATGAAAAATCAAAACTTCAAAAACTAGTTTTACTTGGTTAAAGTTAAGTTTTTTATGACTTAAGTTTTAAATTTCTCCTAATTCAGTTGTTGTAAGCCTGCTCCCTTGCTGCATTCGCTCGAAATACGACAAAAAAAAAATTAAAACCGGTTTTTCTCAACACTGGAAAAAAATTTTCAAAATTTTTAAATGTCGTTCGAACCACGACTAAAAGGGCTTTAATATGATATATCACTCAACCCAGTCCAATGATTATTTGTGGTAGCTGGTTTTGCGTGAAAAAAAAACTAAAACATACTACAACCGAATACAAAGAGCCTCCCCCTTTTAATGGTCGGAACAAAAAGTACATCTTACTTGATTTGTTATTTCAAGTTTAAACCGTTTTCAATTCTTACGTTTTTTTTTAATTCAAGGCAAGTTTTACAGTTGGGAAAGAACTATGACTTGTTGTTTTTGCGACGCTATCGACAAAATTTTTTAAATGGCTTGATTTTATGTAAAAAGTTATACAATCAAACGAAAAAATGAAAAGTTTTTGCTCCATTTGTTTTTTGAATATTGTCAAAATTCTGTAGAAAAGTACCTGAAAAACTATAATAGTAGACTTCCACAAAGTTCTGCAAAAAACGACCCCACATAAGATCTTTTGAAGCAAATAAACTGTCTTTTTTGGGTTTTAAGTATTTTTGCAAAATGATTTTGTTTCACTTCGAGACTATATCATATCAACTCTTAATGCTTTTCTAATATCCATCCTAAGACAACATTCAAAAAATGAGAAAGAGTTGTTTTGTCGCATATGTCTTGAGTGTTTTGGTTCACCAAAGAAATTTTGCGACATTATTTTCAATGTTTAACAGAGGCTTTATTAATTTTGATCCGCATTTAAATGATCATTCAAGAAATCTGAAAATCTGTTTTGTTTGCTTTTTTGCAACAAAAAAAATAGATTCGAGGTCAGATTCAAATTGCAGGTAGTTTTTAAGCAACTTTACGCAAACAAAAATGATTTTTAACTGTTTATAGAATTTAAAGAAAGTCATTTGAACAAGAAACACAGCATGATTGCTCATATCAGAATCAAAGTGAAGTCAGTCCTGAAAATTCCAACTGCTCTATGAAATAATTGCTGAATTAATTTGCAGAAATATTTAAAAAACAAACTGACTCACCAGTGCCACGTAAAAATGATAAGTAGGCGTTTACTGAAGCAATGTTTAGATCTTTTAACTTGATAAAATGCTTTGTGCTTGTAAGCAGTTTTGCAGCCGGATTAATCGCTGTCGATTATACGCGTTAAACTGTTCGCGCAATTAAAGTATACCAAATTTGCCAAACTCTAAAATTCCAAATGAAATTGCAACAAATTGCCTGAGGTGTAGAAAAAAACTTTTCGAAA